CGACGAATGCTACTTGACTCAACAGCATCACAACAAAACTGATCAACCGGTTTGCGTGAGCCAGACCGAAAAAATTAAACTTAAAATTAACTCTTTGTTTCACATTGATGATGGCTTTTGCTCAGGTTATTGAATATTAGTCACAAGGTCACTGACAACATTCCTCTCCAGAAAATTGGACGATCGCTCAAACTATACGATCGATTGTTTCTCACGACTTCGAAACATTTTTTGCAAATATTTTGATATCACAATTTCTAAATTTACTCTACTTACCAGCGTAAGGTGGAAGTTCTTCAGCGAAACATCCGTAAACTTCTGCTCTCATAGCCATATTCTTAGTGCCAGGGATGATTCGTAGGTAACGGGCCACGAACGGTTCGGCGAGCTTGGCAAGGACTGCGTAAACGGCCTCTTTACTGCTTTTTGGTCCATTTAAAGCCTTAATCACAATCAAAGATTTGACTTAAACTTTGATTTGTTTCTAGTCTCTTAAATTTCTAGCTCCCAGTTTTTTTTGCTATGTTTTTTATTCGCTTTACCGGGGAGACAAGAGCAATGGGGGGTGACAAGAACGGAAGAAGAGTGACTGTCTCTCCTTCTTCTACCATCTAACTTATCCTTTTTCCACACCTGATTTCAGAGAGGCCTTTCTTATTTGCGGATCCCTTTTGCTTTTTTGTGGTATAATGAAGCTCTGCTAAGTAAAGAATTGAATTGATGAGAATTCACCCACAAAGTACGCTCGAATGACATTGAATATTCAACTCTTTTTCAATTATTCATTTAGAATACTTTGATACGTTCTCGTGGTTCATCTAAAAACCACACCCATACCTGATTTGAGCAGTCAATGATCAAAATCGATTTGAGGCGACAGATACGCGTATGGCTTATATAGGGGAGAAGCCCTTCTCCAGGAAGCGCTAGGGTAAATGTAGTTCAGAAAAAAAAGAATTATTTAAATTAAATTGACCTGTGATAGCCTGTAGCGCTAATTTGCTCTCCTTGGCGAAACCTTCGTATTTCGGGCTGGGTCCATAAAAACATTATGTGTCAGACAAAGTAACTCTAGTGAAATTTTACATTGGATTAAGACTCATGCCGATGTGTAGCTTCGCACCCATAGGCAGCAAATGTCTTATTCCCTTCATCCTCCGTTGTGTTGTCTAGTCATATGTGGGCCTCTTGGCTCCTAAGACACCCGTAACAAAAAAACAAGTTCTAATGCCACGAGATCTGGTAAACCCTTCAAACGCAATTTAAATTTCACTTACTTTAATCTTCCCTTTCTCATGATAATCCATCCACGTTATACCATCCAAACTGTATTGAAGTTGGTACGACGAAACATAAAAGAATGAGAGAGTTCCTCCCATTGTAGACATTCTCGTCACTCTGCGCAGCGAGCCGAAGTCTATCTGCAAGTAGTCAGGAGGCACTTGAGCGGCTCGTGCAGACCACCCATACGGGAAGTTACCCACGTCCTTGTGAAGACGGATGAACTCTGGCTTAGAAGGATTACTGGAAGGAAGGCTGTGAGTCAGGGCTGCGTCTGTAATTTCACCAGATTCAAGACCCAGCGGAGAGATGCAGCTTGCTGGAGAAGAAGAAAGAAATGATCATCGACAGGTGACATATTTCTGAGCATAGATCTTCTGCTTATTTACACAATGTCGTGATAAGCATTGATAAATGAGAGAAAGGAAGAATGTTAATTTTTCCTTGCTTCCGTCAAAAAGGCTTTATCGTCATAGGTGAGCATTTTCAGGCATGCGCGTTAGTTCGTAACACCGCGCCGTGCGTTTCAGAACCCGGAAAGGAGCAAGTTTCGTCATGTTCTGTATTTTTTTTCTCCCTTTTTAGTTTTTTGTCAAATACGTATGTTTCTAGTTAAACACTCAATCAAGCCACACTGGTCTGCAGTATTCCGTTCTTATCTGCAAATTCTCACTGGCGCCAGAACAAAGATGTTGACAAGTATTGACACCTAACCTACGGGCGCAATTTGAACTAGAAGCCCGTTTAAGTAACTCAATTACAGATTATCTAACACTTTGAATTAACTGTACCACATTCGGGCAGAGCCTCCCTACACAAGCCATTAAGAATTACCCCGGATGACGATCAGTCCCAATCTCTCCTCTTTTCCTCTGCAATTCGAGCCAATTGGCCATCAAAATGTCTGATTTTGATTTTTAAAATAAACGATAATATATCGTACTCTATCAATCGTACCTGGAGAACCTGGAATGTCACAGCCATAAAACTCGAACCTGATGCAGATCAGCTCCTGAAAAGCCCACGGGCGAATTCGAATACTATTAGCCTCGATTGGGTGGCGGAGTTTATGGACGATCATTTCTCGGTCTTCCGCTCTTTGAGGGCCTTTGAAGATCTACATGAAGACAGTAAGGGTGTAATCGTTAGGTTTAAATGGCAGAACACCTTCTGGATCTCTTGATATACCTAAAGGACCGCTACAAAGCCGCTTCACGTGATCTCAATTAGATCTCGATTGTGCTAAAATGACCACAAGAAATAGAGAGAGCTTGAGGGGTTCTTTAGATTTCCGACGCCACTGACAGTAAAGTGACAGATTTTAAGGCGTTCTAGATGTAAGAAGAAAACCTAAGAACAATTGTAAGGAGATATACGTGGAGAGGCAAACTTTGTCCTTCATCATACAAATTTCCGCAATTTCAATTTTTATAATTTTTGTTTTGACTAATTTGTTGTCAGACCTCTAGATCTCACTTTAAACGATCACGAAAACAGCCTATTAGCACAAAAGTCATCGATGAACAAAATGGTCTTAGAAAACATAATATATCAAATCGCGAAAACTCCAACCACTTGAACCCCAAAATGTATGCCCTACCTTAACTTGACCGTTTTCAAGGTAATCATTCCACGTGTTGTCATCATCACTGAACTGCAGGAAGTATTCAGACACCCAGTGATCTTTGGTAATCCGCCGCATGGTTCCCACGCGTGTCACTCGTGTCTTGAGTAGGAAGTCCACTTGAATAAACTGATCTTTATCCTCCTTGTCAGTGCACCAAGCGTCTTTGGCTGTAAATTGTAATCACATTTAATACCAAGATAAACCCCCAAGAGAGACATGCATCACATTTCTCTTTACAGCATCACCACTGAATCGAGGTTGTAAGAAAAACGAAGTTAATAAACATGAAGAAATAACGCGCGTCTGATTGGCGAGAGACATGCATCAAATTTTTCTTTACAGCATCACCACTGAATCAAGGTTGTAAGAAAAACGAAGTTTATTTACATAAAGAAATAACGCGCGTCTGACCGGCTGAAAACGAGTGCATTCTTCATGTAACACGGATGCAAAGTTGTAACACGAGTGCAAATAACAAAAATCAGGCGCGGCTGCAAAAATTGGGGAAAACTGGAGACAAGAATGATACAACTAGAAGTTCCCTCAATACAGTGCTTAGACCATCTTCAGGCATGTGTCAAGTGTCATGTTATCGCAATGATGACCACATCTGCACATGCGTGGTGAGTATTCTTCCGCGCCACTGTCAATAAAAAAGTTTTTCTACTTACTCTCTCGCGCTCGCGATGGTTGAGATTCATCATAACTTGAGGAAGCTGTAATCTGATAGTCATTGATTCTTCCACTTTTCATTCCCAATGGCTGTGAACAGCCTAAAAAAAAATAAACGTGAGTTGAGACGGAGTCGTTAATCGTGGCCGGACTGATTATAAAATAACGACAATAAGAAGAAAAGAAAAGAAGTATCACTTCGAAAAAACTGAGTTTTATGTGTGGTGCTATAAGCTTTCAAATAGCGCTTTGAAAAAAAGAAAAATATTTACCCGCTGTTATCTTTCTGGGAAGAATTTATCTCTCAAAAAATGTCGATCAAAAGTTAGTTGCGCATGAGTCCGTAACTACTGAATGTAAAACTTACAATTAGCTTCCTGTAGTAAACACCCAAAAGAGACTGAGGAGCCTATGTAAGCTGTTAGATGTAAAGGAGACTATAAGTTGACTCAACATGAAGTATTTGGCATGTCTTATCGCGCTGCGATAATGCACCGTACATACTGTCACGCATTCGACTCTGACTGTATCCTACTTATCGACCGGTCATTAATTCAGGGGGGGAAGGGTCGGAGGATAGCAAGGACTGATCCCTCCTCCGTTCACCCTGAAAACTACATAATCCCCCACAAAGTCCTGCACCCCCCTCCTGGTGACTGACTCTTACCTGACAGTTCGACGCCAAAGGTAACTTTACCGAGAGGGTGGTTGTGCACGTTCTTCTTGGTAACTACACCGTTATTCTCTTGATAGTCATCGTAGTAGAGAAGTTGAACTGGCGTCACAATGTCATAATATTTCGGCTTTAGGATCATCTCTGGGTCAAACTGAACTTTGAAGGAGACTGTGGCTTTCAATCCCCAGCTAAGAGTGTCGATCTTAAAATAGGAGATGTAAGAGCAACCCATTAGACTTAAATCAGACTAATTGCCATGGTGGGACACCAAAACTACAGCTCATGTACGCCGAGTTAAAAAAAATAATTCAATTATCGCATGAAAAAAATTGAATGGCGTTCGATAGAAGCTTCAATTCTTTCTACCTGTGAAAAAGACCTTCAGATGGTGGAAGTTACTCGTATGATGTTTACAGTGGCAGATTGTGTCAGATACTTTTCTAATTCCGTTGTCAAGAAAAGGGAATTTATAGAATAGAAACAAAATCTCAGTAAGAGGACCAAAAAAAAAAGCATTTCAAGCGGTTCTAACTGTAACGTTTTATCATTCATCTCGTCGAATACCTAAATTTTTCATTTGGCGACAAATTAACTTAAATTAACTGAACCTGTTTAATCCAAGAGATTATAAATTCCTGGTTTAATCTAAATGACTTCACTTAGATGTGTTACTATTGTCGACTCGGGCCTTTAGGTAGCTCGAACCCCACGCTAAGTTGGATCAAAAATTTTAGTTTTCCTTGGATTTCCCTTAAATATTTTCTGCAGTTTCTTCGATAGGGATTCGAGACCTCGATAACTGTCGAAAATCTCGCTAACGTGAAGTCCCTTTTTACCTTTATGTCACTCTTTCTAATTACCACCGACTTTTCAATAAAGTACCTTTTAGGTCTTTAGTTTCCTTCGTTAGCAAAGTACCTCATGTTTCATACCTTTCTTCATAATGAACCTGAATAATACTTATTTTTTGATCAAGGAAAGTCCGATAGATAAAAGTTTTCTCTGTAGTTTTCAGTCATTTCAATGATTTCGTCCCATGCTGCGATAACTTGAACCTATAATGATTCACTTGACTGTTCGTTATTATATGCACAACAAAAAATAATTTGAACCTACCTACAAAAAACCTTCTGTACAATGAATCCCTTCACACTTGACATTTACATTTGCACAAAAAAATAAATCCTCTAGAGGATTTGAAAGTGTGCTTCATTACCTTCAAGGTAACACTATTGTCTTTTTGTGTGACTTGCGGAGGATTTATACCAAGCGAAATGTCTACCAAATGACGGTACTTGATGTAAGGAGCTAGCATCCAGGTCACGTGAATACCTTTGGCGTCGGCTAATGAGTCGCCTGTGTGTTTAAGGGTGGTAACATATCCAAAATGGTGGCTATAGCAACAAAACGAATAATCATTGCATAAACAATTTCCTCTCTTATTCAGTTGACTATCTACATGGTCTGTGCATATGATGGGACAGAGAGATCATGAACAACTAATGGTCTCTTACACAAAGTTTATTTTCAGGTAAGTCATTCCCTAACCCTTCAAAAAACTACAAGTGGACGACAATCAAGCATTTATTTTCCTCTTCGAAAATTATCCATCAGTTTTTCTCTTTTTTTTCAATGTTTGTCAGACTTTCAATTTATTAGAAACGAAATGACGGAGTCAAACCAGTCAACGAAAAAAGTTATGTATGAAATACATTTCATCAAAAAAAGCCTCGCCGAGTTTTATTTCATTGCGGGAAAATAAGAGCAGGCTATGTTTCATTGGCAGCCAGCGTGAGAGCCGCCATACGGCAGACGTCCATCAAGAGGAAGTTATCGTCTAACGTCATAAGAGTACATATCGAATAGTCTTGATTAAATCCGACAAGAACTTACCCATGGTTCATTTCCTCCGTCACGTTCACAAAATCTGTCCTCATGATTAAATCAGGACCTGCAGCTTGTGATGTGTGCACTGCAAAGAAAATGATAGAATATAACGCTCCAGTGTAGTTAAACTTCACTCTTTTTGCACTACTTGTATTAAGTGACCCGATCAGTTTAACAGCAGAAAGTTTTTGTGATGAAGTGTGAACTAAAACTTATTAACGAAATTTTTGTCAGCAACCTCGTCACTCCTTTCCAAATGATTAAGATACGGACAAAAAGTTTCGGAAAAGAGTTTTGGATTTTACTGTTGCAATATTCGAGGAATTGCTTCAAGGAACGGGGCAAATTAAACTCCAGTGCGGAAAATGCGTCAGTGACGTGTTGGCTCGGTGTATAAGCAATTAATTAAGCTCAGCCGGCTTTAGAGCCCTATCATCTTCTCACGATAGATTTTGTTTTAGACATGGTTTCCATGGAACGTTTTTCTTAGCTTCATCAACCGTTTTTAGACAATGTTCAATCTTCGAATGACACGGAGATTTTCAAAATAAATTGGCACGTTCTGTGATGAAAAGAGTGAATGCATAAGTTCGGCATTTCTTCAACCTGCAACGACGCAATGTGCGGAAGGTAACGTTCATTCATCCGGAAAAAGGCTTGCTCTTGATACCAAGTTACCTTGACACATCTGAAGTATCATCTCCTTTGATACAACCCTCAGTAAATTCACAGCCTTACTCAACAGTAATATATTAGTTATAGGTAGATTTTCATTGAGTTTTCAGAGACTTTTCTAAAAGCTTCCTCGGTTTTGAACAAGTAGGACGAATTTTACCGGACAAGCAAAATAAATCAACATCTTACCTTGAGCGCCTATTATCAAGCAGAATGCCAGTTGATACAATGATCTGGCAGACATCTTCCTTTCCAATAACTTATCCTTGAAGAAAACTCTAAGATCCACAACGAATTAACTACTTTGACAAACTTTCGACAAGCGAAATGGATTCATTAAGAATTTATTTCACAAAAATGATATTTTGTTACTTTGAACCAAACAATTGAAAGTAAGCAGACCGCAAAAGTTTGAAAAGAAATAACAGTGATACGATTGGTTCAAAAGCTACGAAATGTGAAACTAATGAGACCTCAAATAGTTTGCTTCATCTGTTTAATTGCGCGGTATTTTTCATTTTGCATATTTAAAAACCCTTAAAATGAGCCCAGTCTGACGTATCGATTTAATTGGGTAATTCTGTAAGACACTGAACAAAGAAAAACGCAGGTTTCTTAAAAATTAAGAGAATCGTTTTTCAGAGACGCTATTGTTTGTAAAAGTAGAGGTCGGAAAGGACTATTATTATACCTCATTTTTTCGCTCAATTATTTCTTGAGATAAACCCTAAACGTATGATAAATAGTCACTGCTCAACAGACTAAATTAAATCAATGAAATAATGACTGTATGAATCGCTGAAATGATCTTTATTCATATGAACCGCTTACTGAAGTGAATGTTATTCTCATCGAAACAGTTGAGGAACAAATATCTACTACCAATTCACCTAGATCTGTGATGGACATGAGTAAATTCCAGATGAATAAAGGATCAGAATGATATCGAAGATCCAAATAGAACTGGCAACGCATCTTACGCAGGATATTTGAGCACTTCGGCGCGGGAAGCCTTCAAAACCATTGAAAAAAGGGAAAATAGTGATTCCAGAGCAGATAACGGATGAAGCTGTTGGGCATAGTTACAGCAGGTATCATCTAAGTGAAAGAAACACGACAAGTAAACGTTTACACCACCGTTTACAGAGGTTGAGGATGCGGACAATTACTCCTTCACTGCAAAGAAATTTAGCAGTTCAGTTATTGTCAAATGATGTAATTGAACTGAGTGGAGTGCAATTTGGGCTCAAATCTTACGCGTGATATGATATCAGACCAAAATTGCACGACGCGAGGTTCAATTACCACTTTATTACATCCATTTTGAAATCGCCCAAATACAGGACTTGGTCACTTCAAATATTTCATTGATGCAGTACTGAGCCGGTCTGAAATTAAATTCATCCATTTTTGGGGGGGGGGGGAAAAGTAAGAGCTTTGGAAACAAAAGTTGCATAATTTGCCACATGGTACTCTTTATCTTTCATTTTCCTGCAATTTGATCGGTTACTTTAAACAAGCCTTGAAATCTGATTGGTTGTTTTGTTTTTCGTGTAGCCTCCTCATTGGCTGGGAAAAAGATGCGATTTAAAGCAAAAAATGGTGCGATTTGCGAATAAATCGCATTAATTAGAGCCAATCAGATTACAGGGACCACCAGTGATTTCAAAATGGTTGTACTTGAAGTAATATCACACCCACTCTCTTTTCTAGGCCGAGGCAAACCCATAAAGACACTGGGAGCTGTGATTGGGAAGCGATAGGTAACAGGTATTTCGCGTTAACCTTCTACAAACATCCTTGCTAAGTTTTCTCTATCTTTTTAGCTTCTTCTTAAGTTTTATTGTATCTTTATCAATTATTATTATTAGGTTTTTGCATAGACCCCCTCAAAGTAGGGCTCCCTTTGTGACCTGACAAGGGTGTACTTTGGTCAATCACTAGTCCACCCTATTTTTGTAAGAACATGCGACTAGTTTTAAAGCTTTATTGCTGAATTAGAGGACCGAATTGTGCTGCTTGCAAAACGCGTGGCGTGCTACCGCGCGTGTAACGCGTACAGCGTGACGAATTTGCTTCGACGGACGAAAAACACTGAGAACTAGTAATGGCGGCGAAGCTGTAGATACCCTGGTTAAATGATGGAATGAATTGCCTATCCTGAAACTAAAACCGGAGCAAAAACGGAACCTTTAACCACACTTACCTTTCAGTAAAATTTGGGTTCCTATTTGAAATTATTTGAGGGGAAAAAATGACTTCACAGTGGCTGAAATATTCTGGAATGGAGACCGCGTGCGATTTGATATCAGATCAACTGTTAAAGGTCAGCTCTAGTAGTAAGCCCAAAACGACTGATTGACACGCAAATCATGTCAAGTTATTTCTGGATCACGTCTTATTTTTATTTTATAAGCACAGTTCCTAGTATTTAAAGGTGTTGAGAGAAGGGGCTTTTTCTTACTCTTAATACAGGGTTCGTTCGGGTCCTGGAAAATCTGGAAAGTCCTGAAATTTTATTTTGACATTTTCCTGGACTGGAAAGTCCTGGAAAAGACTACAGCGCTTAGAAAATCCTGGAAATCTGCTTAAGTCTAGTAATAAACTTGTCAGAATTTACGTCACAAGAAATGTATG